TGGGCATAATAAAGGACCAAAATGGCAGGGACCTAACAGAGGCAGAAGAGATTAAGAATAGGTGGCAAGATTACACAGAAGAACTATACAAGCCTGATAACCATGATGGAGTGATCACTGACCTCGAGCCAGACATCCTGGAATGTGAAGTCAAATGGGCCTTAGGAAGTCTGAGCAACAACAAAGCTAGTGCAAGCGACAGTATTCCAGCTGAGCTATTCAAAATCTTAAAAGACGATGCAGTAAAAGTGATACACTCAATATGCCAGCATTTGGAAAATTCAACAGGGGCCACAGGATTCAAAAAGGTCAGTTTACATTCTGATCCCAAAGAAGGACAATGTCAAAGAATGTTCAAACTACCGCACCATTGCACTCATTTCGCATGCTAGCAAATTTATGCTCAAAACCCTACAAGCTAGGCTCCAGCGGTATGTGAACCAAGAACTACCAGAAGTACAGGCAGGATTTCGAAGAGGGAGAGGAACTAGAGATCAAATTGCCAACATACACTGGATCATGGAGAAAGCTAGGGAGTTCCAGAAAAATATCTACCTCTGCTTCATTGACTATTCTAAAGCCTTTGATTGTGTGGATCACAACAAATTGTGGCAAGTTTTTAAAGAGATGGGAGTATCAGACCATATTATTTGTCTCTTGAGAAACCTATATGTGGGTCAAGAAGCAACAGTGAGAACTGGACACGGAACCACTGATTGGTTCAAAATTGAGAAAGGATTTCGGCAAAGCTGTATACTGTCACCCTGCCTATTTAACTTATATGCAGAGCACATCATGAGAAAGGTGGGGCTAGATGAATCACCAGTTGGAATTAAGATTGCTGGGAGAAATATCAACAACCTCAGATATACAGATGATACCACTCTCATGGCAGAAAATGAAGAGGAACTAAAAAGACTCTTGATGCGGGTGAAGGAGGAGAGTGCAAATGTTGGCTTGAAACTCAACATTAAGAAAACTAAGATCATGGCATCTGGTTCTCTCACTTCCTGGCAAATAGATGGGGAAGAAATGGAGGTAGTGACAGATTTTATTTTCCTGGGCTCCAAGATCACTGCAGATGGGGACTGCAGCCAAGAAATTAAAAGACGCTTGCTCCTGGGGAGGAAAGCTATAAGCAAATCTCGACAGCATACTAAAAAGCAGAGACATCACCCTGCCAACAAAAGTGTGTATAGTCAAGGCCATGGTTTTCCCAGTTGCAATGTATGGCTATGAAAGCTGGACCATAAAGAAGGCTGAGCACCAAAGGATTGAGGCCTTTGAATTGTGGTGCTGGAGGACAATTCTCTGAGCCCCTTGGACCGCAAGGTGATCAAACCAGTCAGTCCTAGAGGAGATCAACCCTGACTGCTCTTTAGAACGCCAGAAACTCAAATACTTTGTCCCCCTAATGAGAAGGAAGGACTTCCTGGAAAAGAGCCTAATGCTGGGAACAATAGATGGCAAAAGAAGAGGGGATGGCAGAGGATGAGGTGGCTAGATGGAGTCACTGAAGCAGTCGGTGTGAGCCTGGGTGGACTCTGGGGGATGGTGGAGGACAGGAAGGCCTGGAGGAATGTTGTCCATGGGGTCGCGATGGGTCGGACACGACTTCGCGACTAACAACAACAACAAGTAGCCATGGCTACCACAGTCCTTCATCAGTAGCACCAGGAACTGCTGAGAAAATGCTAGCAAAAGCACACATTGCATGAGTGTGAGCGGTTCTACACCCAGTTGTTGTCTGGCAAAGATCAAAGTCGAAAGGAGCATGTAACCAGTTGTATCCATGCAATATCACACCTTTGATGATGTCATCAGTGCCATCAGAGAAGTGTACCCAAGGGTATAAATATTCACTGCACTTTTTTCCATTTTCCAAAATAATATTAAAGCTATTTAAATCTATAGGGTACTAACTAAAAAATGAAGTGTCTGTGAATCTAGGCTATCTAGATAGTGCTTTGCCTATCTATTGCAATTTCCAGTGATCTTATTCTTGCCATCATTACTGCTATTCATGCTTTTCCCTGCCTGGTCATGTTTCAGTCTTTCAGATAATAAAACTTGTCATCTCTAGTAACTGAGTATGTGAGCTGGCAATTTCAGCTTGGTGACTTTGTCATCATGTCACAAATGTCTTCCTTTTCATCTGTATTCTGCCAGCAAATGAAAACATTTCGCATTAACCCATTCATATGAGAGTACGGGTTGCTTATTTTATTTATTCATTCTCTCAGCAGTGATTTTGTCTTTGCTGTTACTTTTAATTCATTACATGGATAAAGTACAGTCAATTTTCTATTTTTATATTTGGTAAGTACTAAACCAAGACATACATTCTTAAAATAAAATAAATGTTTACCTAAAGAATCAATGAAATCTTATGCTGTACTTAATGTTAATTCTGCTGTTTCCAAAACAAACCTAAAATGCAAGCATCCTTAATGCTCAAAGTTAGAATCATGTTTCATATTCAGCTACGTCAATTGTTGTTTGTCATATTTGTTTGTCATATTTGTTCAAGCTTCCTCTATTTTCAAGCACTTTGCCCCCTTGCTTCCAATTTAAATATGTTCTTTTACCACTGCTGAGACTCCTTCTTGTGCTCATCTCCTCCAACAATAACCTTTTAGAGCCAGGACCACATGTCATGAGAAGTACACAGCATGTTGCTGAAGCTTGCATGTCTTTTTACTCTTACAATTAAATTGTTCTCTGTGTGAAAGCATTACTTTAATGCATCGCTCCTCCTCAAAAGATAAAACCTTGTCCCTAAGTCCACAGAATCCACATTCAGAAAGAAACACTTAGCTGCTGAATACACAAGTCATAGTCATAGAAATCTGAACCTGTTTGAATCTCTTGCAAATTTTTCTGGCTTCCCTAATCCAACCCCCTACTAGGGCAAGAAACCTGCTGCTACAGCATCCCTGACCATCAAGACTCTGCATAAAAGTTTCTGATGAAGAAAAGTCCACCAACATCTATAGCAGCTTGTTCACCTGTTCACAAGTTTGTCCAAACATTTCCTCAAAATCTTCTTTATTGTTATTTGGATCCATTGGGTTAGGTCCTCCTTATGAGGCAGTAGTAAATGAAGAATATGTGTGATCACCCTTTAAATATTTGAAGATGGGTATTATATTGCACCCTAACTGCTTCTTTCCCAAGCTAAAAGTGCCCAGCTCCTTCAACCTTTCCTCATATGACTTGATCTACTATCTCTGTTGCATCCCGCTGTACATATTCCAATTTGCCAGTATCCTTCTCACACTGTCCAGAACTGGACAGATTATTCCGAGTTAAGGCCAAAGCAGAATCAAATGGAACAATCGTCTCTTGTAATCTGGACACTACAGTTCCGCTGACATAGGTAGAATTTCATTCATGTTTTTAGCCAGTGCATCTAACAGTCAGCTCATGCTTAGCTTTGAGCCACAAGTCCTCCATTCTATATTCCCAGACGTTACTAGCTGAGTAGACAAGGGCCAATCAGCATATGGCAAGTGATATCACCATCACCATCATTACCATCGTCACCACCAGCACCACCACCACCTTCTCAGCAATGATCTGCGGGGGGGTTGAGCCAACACAAGCAAGGAACACTTGTTTGATGCTGCCACCACAAGCCTAGCCAGCTTTCAACACAGAAGACACTAGAAAAGTTTTCCATGCCTCCATCTACAGGTTCAAAGACTGTTGTCAATTCATTTTTCCCTGAAGGTGCTTCTCAATGAGGTTTTATGTGCAATGTTCCTGCATCATGCATGCAACTTTATGGGGGTCAGATGACATAGTGATGGTTCAACTAGAGTCAATAGGATTGCTGGGTGGTTTAGACTTTTTCACATAATGTATAGTTAAACTATGGAATTCATTGCCATGGGAAGTTGTGATGGCCACCACTCTGGATGTCTTCAAGGGGGGATTGGGCAGGTTCATGGAAGAGGTGGCTATAAGCTATGTGCTACAACCTTTACCAGAGGGGGAGTGCCTGCAAACACAGTTCCTCAGGAGCTTGGGCAGGTGGAGCTCTTCCACCCATCCTGTTTGAGCAATCCTGTGGGCAGCTGCTTTGCCACTGTGAATATGGAATGCTGGACTTTGGTCTAATCCAGCATGGCTTTTCTTATGTTCTTATGGCAATGTCATCAACTCCCATATCCCCCAATTTTTCCACCATTTCTTCGGCCTTTCAGCAAAAAATCTGTTTAGAATGAAAATTTGCAACAGCTGCACAATGGCTTCTGACTGTTAGTACTAGGAAGTCTCTGTCTATAAGCACCATTTATGTAGGGAATAACAGTGATCAGAGCCCAACAAATCTATATGTTTCCAAACAGGGCTATACCCTGACAGTTCATGGAGAATACAAATTATCTCGCTATCTATTTGTAACCTTCTCATGTTTTCCTGGTTTTTAAAAAAATAATTTAAAAAACCTGTTTAACAGGGAGTCACCAGAGGGGCATAATCCACTAATAGCTTTTCCTCTGCTTCACCTTTTCCCTTGTCACTCCAAGCACATGCTTGCTGCTCTTGATCTCTTTCTTCTTAGTTAACGCATACATGGTGACTATTAGCTGTGACTGCTTAGAGATCCGATTTTCGCCAGGAATAGTTCCCGATACAATCCAAGGAGAGACTCCTTCCTTGTAAGCACAATAACTACGGGTGTGATGGGGTGCAGAGGTGTCTTCAAATTACAATGCACTATTGAACAAGCCTCGAATAATGAGAGACTTTTCATTTCTTCCAAAAAAGGTTCATTTTACTTTAAACATCTTATGAAACTCTTCCTATATAAACCTAGGGGCTGAAGGTAATCTCTCGCTTAAGATTCTATTCTTACTGAGCCTGTCAGCCCCCTCATGTAAGAGGTTTAGAGTAGTTGTTAGCATAACATTTGTGTGTAGACAGGAGCCACTGAACATGAGAAATAGGGTGCATGAATAAAACACTGGAACTCAGCATACCCACTGTGTGATACAATGGGTGCCAATGAATCAGCGGCTGGAGACGATATCATTAACCAAGAGGCCCATCACTGGTACACCAAATTTATGAAAGAGTGTCCATCAGGTCAGCTGAGCCTGCATGAATTCAAAGCACTTCTGGGTCTGCATGGTTTGAATCCACAGGCAAATCATTATGTCGATCAAGTGTTCAATACTTTTGACTTGAACAAGGTAAGTCTAAATTTATTAATGGCTTTTGTACTTAGCAACAGAAGCCAACTCTGAATCATAATCTAAAAGTAGAGCTTTGCTTTGAAATGCTCACATAATTACCCTGAGTAGTTAATACTTTATTTAACCTGGTTGCATCTAAAAACCTGTTTATTTCTTGAATTGCCATATGTCAAATTGTATTTTTCAACTAGTTTGGTTTCTCTTGACTAGAATTCTTATATTACATTATTATTATTATTATTATTATTATTATTATTAGGTAATAACTATTATGAAACAAGTTTGAAAATTATATTATATTTAACTGGGTGAAAATTATATTCACCCAGTTAACCATTATCTCAATTACTGGCAGTTACTAGCAAAGGGTTCGATCCATAGTGAAACTTAGAGTAGATTTTTTTAAATGCTTTCATACTTAGAGAGTACCCTGAATGAGTCTACCATAAGTATGAAACCAACCCATACTTTAAAGCTCTTCTAAATATGTAAGAATATATTATCAGAACTCTAAACCTCAGAGGTAGAATGAGAATATGAATTGTTATTTTCCACAGCAATCAATCAACTGAAGTATTGTGTAAGTATCACATGGCCGCTCAAAGCCAACTCCTGTGCCATTAAAATTAATCAAAGCTCCACTATCGCCTCGCAACAGTCTTTCTCAACCTGGGGTCCCCTCAAATGGGTTTCCAGCCTGCCTGGCCATTTTAGAGTTTTCATTCAACCTATGAGGATAGTACAAAGTTTGAGAAACTTGGCTAACATACAGAAGCAGTATTGTTTAGTGCTTTACATGTAACATGGCAATATAAGAGTGATGGTGTAAACTGGTAATCTAGGTAATCTACAACAGCAGGGAATTGGATTGGATGGCTGTCTTGGCCCCTTCCAACTCTACTATTCTATGATTCTGTGATCTGAAGACATCTTTTTAATGGTTGAGATTCATTCCCACTGTCAAATTAGTGCCATCTTCTACAATGGATAAGGAACACCGATCTTCCAGCTTTGGTTAAACTACAATTCTCATCATCCTTGCTTGCATAGCAAGTGGTAAGGGATTATAGGAGTTGCAGTCCAAAAATGAATCGTTCATACATTCCCCATCCATATTCTATAAGATTATCACATTTATAGCATGTTATTAAACCATGAGTGTTACTGAACAAGTACATTTTCACAACCATCTGGTATGTGTGTATGCATGTACTGACTGTAAGCTTTCTTTTCAAGTATTGCACTGTGCTTTATTCCAAATGTAAAAATATTAAATAGAAAATATAATACTCAAACACCACTGGCTCAAAGTTCAAAACAGTTTACCAAGATAGTATATCACTAGACCTGCCTTCTACATAAAGATTTGTATCACACACATCAACAAAAACCACACACCACTATTTATATATGATATAACATGTACCTGTTAAAATCATGACATGTACCCGTTAAAATCACAAGTCACATCTTCCTGTACATATTTCTACAGTAATGATACATACAATCTGGGGGATCTAGGTTCAAGTCCCCATTCAGCCGTGGAACTAACCTAGTGTCTTTGCAGCAGTCACAGCCCAATCTACATCACAGGGTTGTTTTGGGGATAAGATTGAGAGCAGGAGGAGAATTATGGAAGCCATGATGTTTACTGGCTGACTTTAGGGCAGTCACTGACTCTCAAATCTAATTCACAGGGCTGACATGAGAATAAATCAAAGAGTATTATGAAGGCACCCTTGGGTTCCTTGCAGGAAAAAAGATGAGAATGGGAAATAAATGTAATAAACAAAGAAGTATATATGAATAAGAGTTAAAGAGAAATGTAATGATATGTAATGGCAGTCTTGCTATCATATAAAAATGAGTGGGATCTGCAACAAAATGTCGCATTCTGGAATGCTGTTGCCCAGGGTTCCAGCCACTCCATTCCATTCTCTTACCTCTTCCCTTAGTCTATTGTTTCCACTAACAATGAGTCAGTATGGTTACTGAACATGTTCAGTCCTCATCGTACTGGGTTTTTTTTTTTTTTTTTTTTTTGGATTCCACCCCTCACACACTTCAGGAGTTTTCCAAGCCTGGTGATACTTCTGCCCGCCCTTGTGTGTGATGCCATTTTGTCTTCACAGGCATTGGTACTCACAAGTGGCATACTGAAAACAGAGGAAAAGATATACAGAAGTGCAAATGGAAACAAAAAATAACTAAAGGATGAACTATTCATGTTTTCTGTCTAAACAAATATAGGATTGTGTCCTAAACTATGCAGTAGCCTAGCCATTAATTTTCCAATGCTGAACAGTTTAAACAAGAAACTATTGGAAGTCGTGAAACCAAAATACTGGATGAAAAATGTAAGAATTTTATATAATGTTCTAATTCTTTCTGAATTACACATGGCACACAAGCTTATGGTACACTTTCACCTTTTAAAATGGTTTAGAAGATTTCAAGAGTGAGTCATCATAGCAGGCATTCCAGTTTGGGGTAATCCACTTATCAACACTTTATGGATGTCCAAAAAGGTATTTCAGCTCAATCATAACTAAAGAAGCACCAATTACTTCTCCCTCTATCTAAATTCAATAGAAATGCAATTGAAATTGAGATTTTTAAAAAATCAAACAACATGTAAGTGGAAAAATTCAAGATAAGAGTACAACCAAAGTGCCCATTTAGTTACCACTTAATAAAAATCCACTCCAACAGATTTCAAGAGGACTGGATTAGGTAACCATGGAATCATTTCCTTTTTTAGAAAGTGGTGTTTTTCCCCCTCATTTTAATTCCAAAGAAGTGAACAGCAAAAGCATTTGGCTAGAGCATTCAACTGAGAACTCTAATAGCAAAGGGCATGTTCAGAAAGCTGTGAAGTCCTTAGTCAAATTTAATCTCAGACAGGAATTCACTTGACAGGCCTAGGTGGGTTATTCTCAGGGAGATACATTTGCATATAATGCTCTTGCTGCAAAATTCTAGGATAAAAACATGGAAGTGTGGTTTCCAGTTTTAAACAGGAAAACAAACCAAGCTGAAATGTGGAAGTCTTGCAACACACCATTGCTTCTCCTCATGGTTTCATGGAGAGCAGGCATGCCATGCTTCACCATCGGTATTGGGTTCAGTCATAATGACAATCCATTCCCCCACAGTTTCCATCATGGCTTGTTGTTACATGTGAACCCACCCTCGGTCTCCATAGTTTGTAACAGGGAGAATACTGGTTTTACTTTACAGTAAGGGGTGAGAACCTCTTCTACCCTGGTGGCCAAATTTCATTTTGGAGATGGGATGATTCCAGTGGCAGGTGGAATCAAAGGCAAAGGCTCAGGGGCAGGCCAAAGAGGTACATGTACAATTGCCCCAAATACCAGTATATTTTAGTTTTGAAAACTCCTACTTTCTGTAAATAAACCCTAAGACATGCATTTGAACCTTTCAGAATGGGAGGAAAGTGCACAAAAACCAGGAAACTGCAAAACAATGGTTGGGGGAAGGGGGCATGGCCTTCTAGGAAACTGTAAAAGTCCAGTTCTGCACCCAAGCTGTGCAGGATTGTTGTGAAGACTGCTCAGGTAATCAAAGATGGAGGCAAACAAACAAGGAGCAGATATGATCAAGGCATAGCAGGACCAGAAGCAAAGAGAGCATTAGAAACAAGTGAAGGTCAGATAGCCAGCATGGCCTGGCAGTTCCAGAAATGAAGGTAGAACCAGGGCAGGCAAAGTCAGATATCTAGCAAGGCACTGCAGATGAAGGCAGGGCAAGAAACAGGCAAGCAACCAGTACTGGCCACAGAACCAGTGGCAAAGGCAAGGCAAAGATCATACACCACCAAGGTGTGGCAGGAACAGAAGCAGAGGCAAAGTAAGGGACCTGGCAAGGCATGGCCAGGAACAGGCAGGAGTGAAGACAAGACTGGGGACAAGACAAGACTGGAGGCATGTTCAATCATGCAAAGTGACCGCCGCAAAAACTAACTGAATAGCATGTGGAAGCCTTTTCTAAGGCTTTCAAGAGCTCTGGGATGCTCTGCATGATCACAGAGGCTCCAGTCCTTGAAAGTATCTACAGGATCTTGGTTCTGCAGGGATTTTCATGGTGAATAATTCTGCCTTCTGCAAGCAGCAGGCTATCCAGTGTCTTTCACCCTGAGGGCTGAATCTGCTGGGGGCTACATTTTAGTGATGGGTGAGGATGAATGCAGAAGAGGGCAAGCCAAAGGCAAAACAGGTGGGGCCAAAATGCCAAAATACCAAACACCAGCACCAAACACCTTAAGAAAACTAAGATCATGGCATCCGGTCCTATCATTTCCTGGCAAACAGATGGGGAAGAAATGGAGGTAGTGACAGATTTTATTTTCCTGGGCTCCAAGATCACCGCAGATGGGGACTGCAGCCAAGAAATTAAAAGACGCCTGCTCCTGGGGAGGAAAGCTATGGCAAATCTAGACAGCATACTAAAAAGCAGAGACAGGTCAGACACGACTTCGCGACTAACTACAACAACCGGCCCAAAATCTGCCCCTGATATAGAGGTTCTACCCTTCAATTTATGGGGAGTATTTTGAGCACTTTGGAAATGAGGAAAAGAATGGGAAAAACTAGCATTTGATTCCTTCCAATGCTCATGGGCCCATTTGACTGTGAACTGGGAAGAACTCAGCTCTTTTCTGCACATAGTTCACCCATGGCTTCTCATGTCATTTCTACCAAAACTCCCAGTAGAAGACATGGTTAAAAATGGTACCATGGCTTTCTCTTTTCCTGTCTTCCATTGTTCCTCTTTTCCCTTTCTCAGAACCAAGCTCAGAACCAAGATGTGATATTAAATGTGTTGTTGCACTATGCATTTATGTAGGTGCGAGGGCTTTTTAATGCAAATTTTAAAAATGTAAATTTCAGCTGATAATTAACAGGACCAGAGCAAACATGAGGAAGCTCTTACTGAGGAAAACTGTTGTAACCTCAAGGAAAATTTTATTTTCAGTG